CCGTTCTCCTCTCCCTCAGCACGGCCGCCGCCGCCGCCGCCCGCAAGGCTGGGACCCGATGCGGTTAGAGCCGCGGAGCCTGGAGGAGCCCCGAGCGTGAGTAGAGCACTGAAGGGCCAGGAGCGGGCGCGGTCGGGATGGGGATGGGGTGGGTGCTGGGGACTCCTGGGCTTGCGCGCCCTTTGGGGTAGGGGCTGCCAGCCGATCCGTGCGCTTCCCAACGTCAGCCCGCGCTGGAGTTCATTGCTATCGCACCTCCTTCTCCGCTGCCAGCCGCTGACCTCTCTGAAAAGCTGAGTCCAGGGCTCGCCTCTCCCTCTCCTTTCTCCCCTACGCTGCCTCCTGGCTCTTCATTTCCTGCCTCTCCTCTTGTTTTGGGGAATGTGCAGGGGCTGCCGCCCGTGCCCCGGCCACGACAGTTCGATCCCCTACACCCTGCACGCCCACCCGACTGGGAGCGGCTAGCATCGGTCCCGAGGAACCGGGACGCGGAGCCGCTAGCTGTTCCTGTGGGGCTGTCACGCCCGAGGGCTTCGGCCCCGCCAGCCCAGCACCCTGGCAGCCCTGCGTTTGCCTTGTGCTGGGTTTAAATCGCCCGGCAGGGGTATAGAAGGAAAACCGCTCCCTCCACCCCCAGCGCCCCTCCCACCTTTCCTCATGAGCTTGTTTTTTCCTTCTAACCGAGACAATCGAACCTATTGGGTCCTTCATTCATAGACGGAGTGAGACATTGTCTCAGATGACTGGTGTCTTTTCTAAGCCTATTATGTGAGGGCCTGTTATCTCCTAAGTGGCTCGGAAAGGTAGGGTCGCGCCCAAGATTCGGCTATGTAAACACCAGACGTTCAGCCAATGTGTTTGGACCTGGACCGCGCGTCTTGAGGGTTTTATTTTCGGATGCTCATGGAATGGGGATAATGGTGGCTAGACCTGTAACCAGAGTTGGAAATCGAAAGCTGTTTTTCTTAGATGGCAAAAGGGAAGCTGTGTACATACAGAAAGGGCAAGGCGGACGCAACAAGAGGGGGCTGTGGAGAAAACAGTCTGCGTCTTCTTTAGTGAATTAGAGTTGTGATTTCGCCTTAGTAAAGCTTCCTCATTCCAGCACTGCGCCTTTGTGCAAATGCAGAACATGGGTTTGCTGGGCGATGTTTTGAATCTTAGTTTGTGAGGCCAGGGAAGCCTCCAGAAAACTTAGGTGTACCAGCTATAGCTACTTGAAGCCGAGTGATTTACTCCTGCCACTTTTGAACCATTGCGGATAAATTTGGAAATTTGGTCGCATATTTTCCTGCTTAGGAATTTGACTCTCTGGATGTTTGTTTACACTGCACCGTACAAAAATGTGTTTTTTAATTGGATTGCGTATTACAAAAAAAACCTTGAAAAATACTTAAAATACTAAATTGCTCATTTAATTTGGATAACCAAAGCACTTTTATTAGTGGATGCTTATTGGTTAATATGCCTATTCAAGTTTTGAGATTATTTTTTTTCCACTGAAGAATTGAATTCTGATTGAAATCATTGGTCACCATCTAAACCTTACCTCTTCTGCAAAATACTCATTATCAGATTAACTGTTCTGCAGTGTCCTCAGCCAAAATTATCTGAAGAGTGCATGAGTGGCTTTGTTTTTACTTTAAGTTTTCCCATCGCATCTTTTGGGATGAAGTGAGCTAAAATTCTATCCATACTCTTACCCATAGAAGTTTCTTACTTGGACTTTTCTCAGTATTGAAAAATAGAATGTTTTCCTAATAAAAATTACAAAATAGGTGATTGAAAGAAATGAAGTGGCAAGAAGCCGTGCTGCAGTCCCAAAGGCACAGGGTTCATGACCACCAGCTGCTCTGTGGGAAGATGGACAGTCTCCTCCCTTGTGATTAACTGCCCCTGAAAACCCCCTAGAGTGTCAGCTTTGAATCAGTTAAAACTCTGTGGTACATAACATGATAGGTGAAAGTAAATGAGTATAAGAAAGTAAATGAATATTAATATACTAATAGTTAAGAAAAGTATAAAGATTGCACGGCATTACCTTTGGGGCTTGTAGAAGAATTAGAAATAAATCACATATAAATGCTGAAGCATTTCTGTAGTGCCAAATTTTTCTGAAAAATATAAAGCACTGAAGATGTCACTAAACATAGTTACTATACTGAGACCTAAAAATGCTACATAAAAAGAAATATAGAGATGTTTAGGTGAAAGGGAGACCATACAGAGCAGGGACTTGAACTGGCTGTGTGTGGAGCAGTCCAAGAGGCGGAGAGTTTCCTTCCTGTGAGGCTAAGGTCCTCTCTGTCGTTTCTAGCTGTCCTCTTTTAAGCAAATAAATATGTAAATTAAATGCTTAATGTATAATAAAACAGAGCATAATATATTTTCCTAAAACAGTTTATGTTTAGCTTATTATTAGTAGTTTTACGGAGTGAAGATTTTTAAACAGTAGTTATTTAAAGAGTTTGTTGTATTGATCTAATTATTGAAAAAAGTTAACATAAACCTATTTGAGTCCTTTAGCAACTGGAATAACACTAAAAATATAATTCTTTTTATGTTTTAGATTTTGGGATGGGACAGAATTTCCCTGCCCCATTTTTCATAGTTTTTTAAATTTTATATTGGTTTGCATACAAAATATGTGTACATTGTATTTCACACTTGCCTTCATTTGCATTGTGTTTCATACAATCATTAGGGAGAGAATTCTGTAAGTGTCTTAAGCACATCATGAAAGAATGCATCTCCAGAGAGAGTATTTGCTCTCTTAAAAATTGTCCAATTTTAGAATAATCAGAATCTTAGGATGCCATAGTTTATATCTTATTAGCAGAATTATCAGGCTGTTTTTCTTAAGAATTGTTTTATCTTGAGCTTCATAACAATCTTATAGACAGGACACTTACTTTTCCTGTTAAATGACATTCTGATCTGAGGTCAAACAGGTGGCAAGGGAGAGACTTACTGACAAAATCAGGGGTTTTTTTATAACCTTTCACTGTATCATGTCTTCATGTACTCCAGACAGTTTATTTAATAAAGAAACTGAGGCCCAAAGGGGTTTAATTACTTAAGAGTACCTTTTCATATATACAGTAACAAATGTGCAAATTTAATTCCCTTCTAACTTAAACAATGATTCTAAATCCTGGCTACATATTAGGATCAACTAGGGAGTTTTTCAAAACACCAGTGCCAGGGGTTTACCTCCAGAGATTCTACCTAATGGATCTGAAATGGAGTGTGGACATCTGTTCAGCTTGTTTGAAAACTTTCCAGTAATTCTAATAGATAAAATGATTATAATGAGTCCTAGATTTCAAGGACCTGTATGACCTGGTCCTTGGCTTGTTCTGTTTAGGTTTATGTTTCCTCTCCATTCCAGCCATTATCTTGGCATTTACATACTCTTGTTTGAGTGTGCCTTTTCAGATGATTTTGTTGTTGATTATTTGCCCACTATGTGTCTGTCCCTGCATTATACTTTTTTTAATATTTAATTCAATTAGAGTGACTTATATTGCTGTTTTTAATTGTTGTTGTTATGTACCCTCGAGTCGTTTGCGACTCATAGCGACCCTATCTACAACAACCCTAAACCCTGCTCTCTCCTGTGCCAATCTCATTGCCTCTGACACACCCATCCCGATTACCCCAGTCACTGAATCAATCCACCTCATAGAGGGTCTTCCCCTCCTGTGCTGTCCCTCTACTCTACCCAGCATGATATCCCTCTCCAAAGACCTGTCTCTCCTTGCAACATGTCCAAAGTATGTCAGATGAAGCCCCAGAATCTTTGCCTCCAAGGAGTAGCCTGGTTTAACCCTCTCTAGGATGAATCTATTTGTTTTCTTGGCAGTCCTTGGTACATTCAATACTCTTCTCCAGCACCACAGCTCAAAGGCATCAATTCTCCTTCTGTCCTCCCTAGTCATTGTCCAACTCTCTGATGCATAACAAGTGATTGCAAGGACCACAGCCTGTATCAGGCACACCTTTGTCTCCAAAGAGCCACCGTTGCTCTTAAGTACTTTAGAGAGGTCCCTAACAGCAGACTTTCCCACTGCAATACATTTTTTGATTTCCTGGCTGCTGGTGCCAAGAGTGTTGACTGTGGAGCTGAGCAAATTGAAGCTGTGAACAATCTCAATCTCTTCACCATCCATCCTGATGCTACTGATTGGTCCCGTGGTGAGAATCTTTGTCTTCTTGATATTGAGCCTCAGTCCATACTGAAGGCTGCAGTCCTTGACCCTCTGCAGCAAGTGCATGAGGTCCTCCTCAGTTTCGGCAAGCAGCATTGTGTCATCTGCATAATGCAGATGATTGTTAATAGATCTTCCATCAATCCTGATGTCACAATTCTCCTCATAGAGCCCAGCCTCCCGGATAATCTGCTCTGCATGCAGGTTAAAAAGGTATGGAGACAGGACACATCCCTGGCATACACCCTTCCCAACTTTGAACCATGCAGTGTTACCCTGCTCTGTTCTGATGACTGCCTCTTGGTCCAAGTATAGGTTTCGCATTAGCACAATTAAATGTTCTGGGATTCCCAATCGTCTCAGAGTCAGCCACAGTTTGTTATGATCCACACAGTCAAACGCCTTTGCATAATCAATGAAACCGAGATAGACATTCTTATGGTATTCCCTGCTTTCAGCTGAGATCAATCTAACATCAGCTACAATATCCCTAGTACCACGAACCCTTCTAAACCCAGCCTGGACTTCTGGAGGTTCTCTGCTGATGTACTGTTCCAGTCGTTTTTGGATAATCTTCAGTAGAATCTTGCTTGCATGTGAAATCAATGCTATTGTTCTGTAGTTTCCACACTCAGTTGGGTTGTCCTTCTTTGGGATGGGAACAAATATAGACCTCTTCCAGTCAGTTGGCCAAGTGGTTGTTCTCCAGATTTCTTGGCACAACTTAGTGAGCACATCCATGGCAGCATCTGTTAGCTGAAATATGTCAATTGGTATACCATCAATTCTGGGGGCCTTATTTTTTGCTATTTCCTTCAAAGCAGCTTGAACTTCTGCCTTCATCACCATCTGCTCTGGCTCAAATGCTATTTCATTACATTCTTC